GTTGTCTGCGTCTCTAGCCTTCAAAACTTCAAACGGCTGTATCTCCGCTCCTAGATCAGCTAAAGATCTCAAAGTTTTTGTAAAATTCTCAAAATTTTTAGAGCAATCTGATAAAACTTAAAATTCTCAATAAAAACTTCATGATCCATGATTTTTTCAAAACTTGAATTTTGGAAGTTTTGTTTAGATTTTGAAGATTTGAAAAAGTCATTCATTTCTCTTCAAAAATCAGTTTTCTAGCTGATCTAGAAACCAAAATACAGCGGATTGAAGTTTTGAAGAGACCCAGACAGTCAGAGTGTCTCGTGGTCTGCGTCTCTAGCCTTTTAAACTTTAACTGACTGTATCTCGGCTCCTCGATATGCTGAATCTAATGGCTTAGGTGTGATTTTTGATCTTTTTCATTATTATTTATGAACACAAAATAAATCCTATCATATAAATCTCATATTGCAATACATAATATCTACTTATTCTTATAGGTGTTCACAATTTTTAATGAAAAAAACAAGAAAAAACATAATCTAGAACATCCTATAAGATTTATGAATCATTTTTTCTCTAGAAAATGCAGGGGAAAAAACTCAGAAATTCAGAAATTCAGAAATTCAGAAATTCAGAAATTCAGAAATTCAGAAATTCAGAAATTCAGAAATTCAGAAATTCAGAAATTCAGAAATTCAGAAATTCAGAAATTCAGTAATTCAGAAATTCAGAAATTCAGAAATTCAGAAATTCAGAAATTCAGAAATTCAGAAATTCAGAAATTCAGAAATTCAGAAATTCAGAAATTCAGAAATTCAGAAATTCAGAAATTCAGAAATTCAGAAATTCAGAAATTCAGAAATTCAAAAATTCAGAAATTCAGAAATTCCCGAACAATATATTTTTTTTCTGAAACCTTTTAAGTGATTTTTCTCTCTCTTTATCACTAGTTTAGTTTCATAATAATCATCAATCATTTTGATGAGAAAAGAGTACTTTTTTTACAAAAAATGTTGTTCTTCTCGAAAATTCTATTTCCCGAAAAACTTATATTTTCTTCTAGAAATTTCTAAAAATATTTCCTTACCACAAGACATAAAAATCACAATTTTATTAGTTTTTTTTTCTAGTTTAGGATCTCTCGAAAAAAATTTTCCTTTGAATTTTTCCCGAAATTTTTTTTTGTCTTCTGGATTTTTCTGCCCTTATGATGTCAAAAGTCTATTTCTTTTCCTTATTCGTCATATCGTGAGAAATTGGTCCATTTTATAGGAATTCTTAATTTGGTTAATGGGACTTTTTGGATTGATTAATGACATCTAATAAAAAGTCTAAAATTCTATATTTTTTGGCTGAAAAACTTGGAAATCTGAAAGTTTAGCATTTTTAAAAACAATTCATTGAGTACTGTAATCATATTTGAGCAAAAACCAGATTTCTAGGTCTTCTAGAACGCGAGATATGGTCATTTTAAATAAAGGAGGGTAGAGACGCAGACAACGAGACACTCTGACTGCCTGCGTCTCTTCAAAACTTCAAAAGGCCAAATCTCAGGTCCTAGAAGTGCTAGACAGTTGGTTTTTGGACCAAAATGAAGCTGAAAATGTGGAAATTTTTAAAATTCGAAGAAATCTGAAAGTCCGGCTATAATTTACCCTGAAAAATTCTTAAACTTCCCACCTAGTTCAAATTTTTTCTAACGTGTCAAAGTGCAAATTTTGAGATTGCTAGACCTCCCATAGAAGAAGATCCCGTTTTTTTTTCGAAAAAAAAATTTCCGAATGAAATTTAAAATTCTGACTGACCCACACAAAAGACCACTTTACGGGGTTATGTGACCAGGAAGAGAAGTACTCAGGTACTAGGATTTTTGACGTCTTCTGAATATTCAGAAGACAAGATTTGCATTTTTTGAAGATCTCCCTTCTAGGAGAAAAAATTGATTCACATTTTTATAACTTTTTTTGGACTTTTGGTTCATCTCGATTATGAATTTTTGGAGTTTTTGTTATGTTTGAATTTCTCGGATTTTCACAAATTTCGAATTTCTTGGAACTTTACTTTTTGGAGTTTCCAGGTCCCCAGAATCCTGGTCATCGGAAAATTTGAGTTTCTGAGAATTATCGTTTTTTCTCAATTTCAATGTTTTCAACGTTTCTTTCATATATTTTTTTTGAATTTTTTCGGAATTTTTAAATTTCTGAAATCTCGGAATTTCTCTATTTCTAATTCTGAAATTCCGAAAAATCTCAAAAATCCAAATATCCAAATTTTTGACATTCCAATTATCCAAATTCTCAAAAAACCAAAATCCAGATGCTCATAACCCTTAAAAAGTCAGAATCTCAAATATTCTAGTGGCCTAGAAATCCAATTTATTTGATTTCTAGGCCACCATCCTGTTCTTTGCCTAGTTCTTCTTTTCACACACAACCTTCAAACACCAGACTCTATGAAAAAAAATTTAAATCACCTGGTTGTCTTTTTTTTCACATTCTGACGTCTTCTGAGATTTTTTATGACCTACTATTCTAGAAATTTCCTATCGACGTCTTCTGTTTTTTTTTAAATTTTGGAATTATCATTTCCTGCTTTCAGAGGAGAATTAAGTTTTGAAATTTTAGAAAATTTCCAACTTTTTGAGTTTATCGAATAGTTGAAAAGTTGTTTGGCTCATTTTTTCTGAAATTCAGAATTTTATGATTCTGCTCAACTTTTAAAAAACTTCGGTGGTTGATTTTTTGAAATCGTTTGAAGTTTTCCAAAAAAATAACATTTTTGGGTTTTTCGAAATTCTTTTTTAGGAACAATTTTCTTACAAAAATCAGATTTCCAGACGTTCTAGAACCCGAGATACAGCCATTCGAAGTTGAGGAGGCTAGAGACGCAGACAACGAGACACGCTAACTGTCTGCGTCTCTTTTGAACTTCAAATCGTTGCAACTTGAGTTCTAGAGAAGCTAGGAATATGAAAATTAGACTGAAATAAGTAAAATTTCAAGTAGCATGTTTTCATTTAAAAATGTCCTAGATCCGAAAACTCCAGAATCGTTTAATTATAGGAACTTTCATTCTAGGAACTCCCGGGGTACTCAAATTTTGGGTTCAAAAATTAGATATACAGAACCACTGGAACCCGAGTTACAGTGTTTGGATATCAGGAGGCTAGAGACGCAGACAGCGAGACACTCTAACTGTCTGCGTCTCTCTAGGAGAAATAGAAAATAGAGGTTTCTGTTCATCCAATTGGCTCCCCGAACGCCAATTTTTTTCGATTTTTTCATAATAATGGAAATTCTTCCGTCTGTCTCTTGGTCTCTTTTCCATAAACTCCTCTCCTCTTCTTCTTCCTTTTCTGAGCAGCCAACCCCAACTCATCTCAGGCTCCGCCACTTTTCCTGCTCTGACCCATTCATCCCTCCGCCCCCTTCTTCTTCTTCTATTTTATTATGTGACCAACCCCATAGATGAAACATTTCATCTTCTTTTTTTCCCGAATTGTCTATTTGTTTTCTTTTTGGAAATTATTGATTTTCGGAAATATAGGGTTGTTTGAGATTCTAAAATTCTGAAATTCGAAAATCTAGTTTCTACAACTGGGAAGTTTCTGAAAAAAAAAGTTTTGGATTAAAGAGATTTCAGTGCTAATTTCTGACTTTTCATAAAATTTTTGGCTCTTTTCTAGTTTAGAGGTCCCAAAAAAGAATAGAGGTCCCAAAAAAGAATAGAGGTCCGAACCAAAATTACAGGTCTCAAAATAAAATAGAGGTCCCAAAAAAGTTTAGTGGTCCCAAGAAAAAACAGTGGTCCAAAACTTAAAAATGCACAGATACCGGAATAATGTACTAAAATTTGAATTGTGTAGGAATTTAAAGTTTTGAGGTCTTATAGCAAAATAATTGTTGATGATATATTTTATACTTCTAATAGGCTTAGGAATGCATTTTTTTTTGACAATTATCTAAGCCTGAGAAACAGCATAATCACGGAGTGATTACTGTATTGCCCAAATTTTCCTCATATGTAAATTGGGTTCATCGGCAAGATGCGAGAGAATAGGAGCTAAAATTGTTAGGAGTAGTCATGTCATCCTATAAGACCTTAAAACTCAAACTACTCGCACAGTTCAAATACTAGTACATTATTCCAACATCTGCGCGTTTTTCGTATTTTGGACCTCTATTTTTTCTTGGGACTTCTAAACTTTTTTGGGACCTCTAATTTTTTTTGGGACCTCTATTTTATTTTGGGACCTCTAATTTTTTTTCGGACCTCTAAATTTTTTTGGAACCTCTAAACTAGAAAAGAGCCGAATTTTTTTCAATGAAAAATCCAGAAATTCAGAAAATCATCAAACTCGGTCCCAGACAAATTCTGAAATATTCAACATGTTTTTTTTTCAAATCTCGAAATTTGAGTTTCCTCAAAAAAACCAACGTTCATGTTTTCAAGGAAGTGACCAGGTTTTCTGACTGAGTGGGAGAGGAAATAATTTTCAGATTTTTTTCAGAAATTTCTGGAAAAAACATGTTCCCATTTTTTCGTGGACACAGGAAATTGGGGGGGGGGGTGTTTGGGAAGGAGGTAATAGAAGAATGTTTGTGTTTTTCTGAGCAATGGTAGCAATTATTTTTGTTTGAGGATTCATTATTCAGAATTTCTAGATTTTCAATAATTTTCCTTTTTCTGTTTGTCCAAATGTCCGCAAAAAAAAAAATATAAAATGTACCCATTTTCCACTCAGAACGGGCGGATTTTTGATGTTTCTCCCCAAGTATTTCATATCCCTTTAATGCAAATTTTATTGGAGAATTTTGAGAGAGAGAGAGAGAGGAAGAGAAGAGAGACGCAGAGAAAAAAATTGATAAAAAATTTCTGGAAGTTTTATACTTCCTTTGGGCTATTTTCCTTTTTTTTTTGAGTCAATTTTCACTATTTCTTAACCATTTTTTTTATGATTTTTCCCTAATCTTTGCTCCAACCCTCTTTAAAATTCCAGTTTCATTTTTTTTAGAATGAATCTGACGGAATATAATCCGGAATCAATAGAAATAAATGAAGCATGTGCTGTGGAGAGTTTGGATAGAAGATGGTATTTGGTTGCAGTCTGTGGAACATCCTTATCAGTGTTATCAATTGTTTCGAATATGTTAATTTCGAAAGTGAGTAGGATACTGAACATTCTGAAACTTTCAAAATTCCAAAATACAAAAATTTTCAAGATTCCGAAAATTTGCAATTTTTCGAATTCGATAATTTCCCAATTCTTCAAAATGCAGATGAAAACAAAAATTTGCAACATTTATGTCTAAGTTTCATCTTTCTAGCTTTTCTAGAAACCGAGATATAGCCTTTTGAAATTTCGGAGGCTAGAGACGCAGACGACGAGACACTCTGCGTCTCTCACCTCCAAAACCTCGAAGAGCTGTATCTTAGCTTCCAGATAAGCTTGAAAGCTGGTTTTTGGACTGAAATTTTTATTATTCTCCCTATATTTTGACTCTTAAGTTTTGAAAAAAAACACTTTAATAGAACGCCACCCGAATCGTCAAGTTTGAGCCTATGTATCTCATTTTCAGTGAGAGATATCAAAAAGTGGTTAACTAATAAAATTTTGCTGATATCATGATAAACATTTTATCAGTTGACAACTTCTTGATATCTTTCAAAAAAAGTGAGATATATAGGCTCAAAGTGAACAGTCCGAATAGCGTTCTATTGGAGTTTTTACGGTAATTCAGGTCCTCCTCTCCTCCAAACACAATCATTTCTACTTCCTGGCACTTTTGGCGCTTTCCGACTGTTTTCTATCCCTAAACTATGGACCTGTCATCGCAATGGATATCATCAAAGATCGTTTGCAACTTCGATGGCTCTCAAATCTCTACATTCAATATGTTGGTCCCCTATTGGCACTATCTCAAACCTCAATGACATTTTCCTGCTATCTGATTATTCTGGCGACAATTGAAAGATATCTGATAACACTACGAGCGAAGTGTTTGGGTACTTTCCGCCAGTGTCGTGGACTATCTGCACTTTGTATGTTTGTACTGGCACTTTTGCTTCGAGCCCCGATAATTTTCGAAATGCAAATCGAACAAAATCCGGAGTGTATTGGAGAGATCAGCGAGTACTATTTGAACTTGTCGCCGATCGTCAATACGTTTTGGTATGGTACTGTATATCGGTTTTATATCAGGTACTGTATATCGGTTTTATTAAGCGTTTTTTTTACCCGAATCCTTACACAAGGGAGAAAATGATATTTTCCGAAATACAGAGAAAAAAACGAGACATTTCTGTTCAAAATACAGTTTTCTAACTCGTCTAGGAGCCAAGATACAGAATATTGAAATTCGGAACAGACGCAGACGACGAGACACACTGCGTCTCTCCAAAGTTTCGAATGGTTGTAACTTGTCTTCTAGATGAGCTAGGAAGTGGAAAATCGAACAGAAATACAGGGAAAAAAGGCGGAATTTCTGAAAATATACGTTTCTTAAAAAATCTGAAAAATTGGAAAATAAATTTTTTTACTGAATTTTTTGAAAGTTCATAGCTGTGTTGAACTAAAAATTATGGACACTTTTGTGAAAAAATAAACGTTCTAGGTCGTCTGAAAGCCGAGATACATCAATTTGAAGTTTGGAAGAGACGCAGACAGTTAGAGTGGCTCTTTGTCTGCGTCTCTAGCCTTCGAAACTTTAAACGGCTGTATCTCGGTTCCTAGAAAAGCTAGATAGATGAAATTTGCACAGAAATGTTGTAAATTTATTTTTTTTTAAATTCTAAACTTTTTTTAAAAAAAGTATTTTTTGATGTCTTCCCATCTTAAAATTGATCTAAAAGTCATGGAAATTTTGTCAAAAATCATAAAAGTTTCCCTGAAAGCCATACATTTGGGACCAAAGATCCTAAAAGTTCATTTTTGGATTTTCGGATTTTACAAATTTTAGAATTTTCTTGGTTTGTTTTTCTGGAAATTCAGAAATTTGTTTCCCAAATTTCAATGCTTCAAAGCCTCAGAACTTTGGGATCATGTAATCCAGGATTTGAAGATTTAAGATCCAAAGATCCCGAAAATTCGAAAATCCAATCCAAGAATGTTCTGAAATTCCACCAAATCCAAATAATCCCGATTATTCCAGGAACATCATGACCGTATTGGTCCCATTCGCCCTTCTGGCAATTCTCAATTACAAAATCGTTAAAATCCTTCGAACCCAACAACGATCCGCCCAAATGTTTCGATTCCTGTCGAGTGATCATAAGACGAAAATCCGCTCGGCTACAATTTTGATGGTTTGCATCGTATTCTCATACCTTCTGGCAAATATTCTCAACGTCGGCATCACTTTATGGGAATACGTTGCGTTTCAATCAACACAAACTGGTAGCGCCTATGCGGTTAGTTATTTTTCAAATAGGTTCAGATAAAAAAATTCCAACATTTCTGTCCAAAAACCAGCTTCCCAGCTCATCTAGAAGCCGAGATAAAGCCGTTTGAAGTTTTTGGAGGCGAGAGACGCAGACAACGAGACACTCTAACTGTCTGCGTCTCTCTGTCCGCGGCCGAGAGTGTCTCGTTGTCTGCGTCTCTTCAAAACTTCAAATGGATGCATCTCAGCTTCTAGGAGGCCTAGAAAGTTGGTTTTTTGACTGAAAAACTCAATTTTTAAAAAGTAAATATTTTGGAGCCAAAAATATTTGAAAAAATTAAAAAATTTCAGTTCTATGAAACATGTACGGATGTGACATCAGTACTGTACATTCTGGTATGTGCAACGCGACTACTGGTTTATTATTTGTTCAATCAGGTAAGGGACTTTTTAATGGAAATTTCAAAAATCCAAAAATTTCAGGAAATCCGAGAAGCCATAAAACCATTGGTTTGCCATAGTGCAAGTGCTCCGAGGAAGGATTATGTGACAGTGACGCGTAGTTTGTAAGTTTTCAGCTCAATAAATTTAATTTAAATTTCCCGCCAAACCCCCCTAAAAATCCTAGGCCATCCCCGAAAATTTTTCCAGAAATTCCATGCCGCTGGCGGTAGTTGGAGCCTTGTCATTTCTCAGTCAAAGCCAGACTGACGTCGTGAGAAATCATCAAATGTAGGGGAAATTCGAAAAAAAATCGGTGGCCTAGAATTCTTGGATTTCTAGGCCACCGGAATTGCATGAGCAATCTCTTTCCTCTCTTTTTCTCTAAAACTATCTGAAATTAACCCCTCAATTTTTTTTCATTTTCAAGCACATTCCTCTTCTTTTTTTCTCGTAATCTCACACACAAAACTCACCAAAATATGTAGACATCTGGATGAACAGACAGACAGACAGACGGAAAATTTTAAGGAAGTTTTTTTTACAAATCACTTGATTTTCAAAGTTTTACAAAATTTTGGAATTTCAGAGTTTTAAAAAGTTTTCAGAGTATTTTCAGAGTTCCAGAAATTCTGAAAATTCTAACCTTTTTAAAAAACTCTGAAGTTTAAAAAGAAAATTTCCACGATTGGAATAATTTGGAAAACTCGACAATTCTAGAAAGTTTTCTCACCTTTCGAAACCAGTCAGTTCGAAACCGCGACATTTCAAAACCAGTCAGTTCGAAACCGCGACATTTCGAAACCAGTCATTTCGAAACCAGTTATTTCAAAACCAGTCAGTTCGAAACCGCGACACTTCGAAACCGGTCATTTCAAAACTATGTGAGCCTTCGAAACCAGTCATTTCAAAACCAGTCAGTTTGAAACCAGTCATTTCAAAACCGCGACACTTCAAAACCAGTCATTTCGAAACTATGTGACCATTCGAAACCAGTCATTTCAAAACCAGTCAATTCGAAACCGCGACATTTCGAAACCAGTCATTTCGAAACCAGTCCGTTCGAAACCAGTCCGTTCGAAACCAGTCATTTCAAAACCGCGACACTTCAAAACCGGTCATTTCGAAACTATGTGACCCTTCGAAACCGCGTCATTTCAAAACCGCGACATTTCTAAACCGGTAATTTCAAAACCAGTCAGTTCGAAACCGCGACACTTCGAAACTACGTGACGCTACGAAACCAGTCATTTCGAAACCGAAAAAAGACACGGTCAAGTGAAAATGAAATTGGAAATTGGAAATAATGACTTAGAATGAAAGAAAAAATTTGTAGATTATAATTTAGTAGTTTCGATACTGACCAGTTTCGAAGTGTCGCGGTTTCAAAACGACTGATTTCGAAATAACTTGTTTCGAAGTGTGTAGTTTCGAAAAAACCGATTTCGAAATGTCGCGGAGCCAAAATCTGTCTGTGTGTATGTTTGTCCATCTCCTGCGTTCTCCACTATTCCTCCTTTCCTTCCACCATAGAGCCCCTGTCTCCCACATTGCTCAGCACTAATTTGTTTTCCAATTTTCCAGCGATTCGTCTCGTCAAATTGGTACTGAAATCGACGCCGTCGCCATCGCCATCGCACGACGTCTTCTGTCTTCTGAACTGGTGTTTCATGGACATGGTGCATCGAAAAATGAGAATGACTCATTTGTGATCTCCAATCATCATGTTTGCACTTCTGGAGACGATGAATGCAATGATGACACGGATGATGACGATGATGATGTTCCACATATGGTTTAGGGAAAATTCTGGAGGATTCTGGAAAGTTCTGGAAATCTAGAAGATTTCCGAAGGTTCTAGGTAGTCCTCTCTCTATCTCTCTCTCTCTCTCTCTCTCTCTCTCTCTCTCTCTCTTTCTCAATAAGAAGCATATGACTAAAATCACGGGTTTTATTGTAACAAACTTCCTTTTTTATTATTTTTTCCAATTAATTGTATATTCTGTAATAATAACACCAAAAGAAAATTTCTTCTTCCTCATCATCACATGCATTTTTATTTTATAGAAAATCTTTTATTTTTCGTACAATTCCTATACAAAAAAGCAAAGAGAAAAAGAAAAAGAGAGATCTCATTAGGTGCCGGATATTTCATCAATAGACAGAAAACGCCCACATCGACGGCTATTCGTCCAAAACTTCTCGTGACATTTTCCGGCCACCAGATGCCGCTGCCTGCAAAATATATCGTTATTAATTGGAGTATAATAATTGGAAGGGGGCTGAAAATTATTCCAGAGATTTTCAAAATTTCCAGATTTTCAGAAATTCGGAAAGGGATCTCAATAGTATTGAAATTCTGGAATTCTGGGACTTGAAAACTAGGAAGGACTAGATTTCCAGGATTTCGAGGTTTTCAGAATGTGGGCATCTAGGAATTTCGAAATTCGGAGATCTGAAAATCCTAAGATTCTCGAGAAATAATGGACATTTTTAAATTTTTTAATGATTTCGAATTTCAGCCTTTCAGAATTTCAGAATTTCAAGATCTCAAAATTTAGAATTTCGAAATGTCAGAATTTCAAAATTTCCGATTTTCAGAATCTCTGAATTTTTAAATTTCAGTATTTCTGAATTTCTGAATTCCTGAACTTCAGAGTTTCAGAATTTTAGAATTTCAAAATCTTACAATTTCTGAATTGCTTTCAGAATTTGAGAAATTCGACTTGTCAGAATTTCAGAACCTCAGAATCTTAGAATTTCAGCATCTCCGAATTTCAGACTTTTAGAATTTCAGAATTTCAGAATTTAGATATTTAGAATTTTAGAATTTCAGAAGTTCACTTTTAGAATTTCTGAATTTCTGAATTTCAGAAGTTTACCCTTTTAGAATCTCAGAATTTCAGAATATCAGGATCTCAAAATTTAGAATTTCAGAATTTTAGAATTTCAGAATTTCAGAATGTCAAAATTTGAGAATTTGAGAATTTTCTGAACTTCTGAATTCCTGAATATTGAGAATTTTAGGATTCCAGAATTTCAGAATTTCAAAATTCAAAAGTTCAGAATTCGAGAATTTCAGAATTTCAATTTCAGAAGTTCAGAATTTCAAAATTTCAAAATTTCCGAATCTCAGAAATTCAGATACTCAGAGTTTCGAAAATTTTGAGCCTCCAAAAAATCAAAAATTCCGAAAACCTAAAAATTAAGAAAATAGCAAAAAAACCCAAAAAATCTCAATTTCAGATTTTCAGATGTCCAATTTTTAAGAATTTCAGAACTTCCAAGAACCCTAAGAATCCTGAAATGCCTCCAAAAAAATTCTCACCACGAGCTTAATCTTAATATGTGGAATCTTAGTTCCAGCTCCATCGGCTGCCTTGAACGCGGCCTTCGCATCCTGAGCGTCTTTCTCAATATCAATATACTGAACAATCGCCTTATCAGTTTGAATTGGTCCCGGCATTCGATTGATCGTCAACTGGCGACACTTATTCGGTTCGATTATCATATGAGTCGGCTCGACACGGAACAGAGCATTGCCACAACGAATTTTCAGAGCCATACGTTTTGTGGTGAAGTTTACAACCATGTGCTCCGATTTTCCACCGGCGTTTGAGAATTTTGCTTCCTGGAAAATTTGTTATGAATTCAGAAAATTTCTGGGGTTTTCAGATTTTTTTTTTTGATTTTTTAGATTTTCCAAGTTTTAAAATTTCGAACATTGCAATTGAATTTTTTCGATTTTTTTGCAACTTGTGGAATTTTGGAATTTCTGAATTTCTGAATTTCTGAATTTCTGAATTTCTGAATTTCCGAATTTCTGAATTTCTGAATTTCTGAATTCCTGAACTTCAGAGTTTCAGAATTTTAGAATTTCAAATTTTTTGATTTTTCGAAATTTTTCAAACTTCAATAAACTTCCGAATTTCGGGAATATTTGAAAATCACGAATCTTCGAATTTTGAGATTTCTCGAATTTCTATATTTCGGAATTTTTAACTCAAAATTTGGGATACTTGGTAATCTTCCAAAGTTCGTAACTCCTGAATGTTGTCGGCATTTTTTGAATTTTCAAATTTTTACGATTTCTGGAATTATTAGAATTTTCCGATTGCCAACAATTTTTGAAATTTAGACATTTTCAAAAAAAATTTGGATTTCATCAATTCGATTTTTGGAATTTTAGGAATCCAGGAGTTCTGTGAATTCTTGTAAATTCGAAAATTCGAAAATTCCTAAAATTCCTAAAAATACCTCAGGATCAATAGTGATTGGAACTTTTGAAGCTTCCGAATTCGCCTCATCACAATCGCTATCCCCCTTCTTCGACTTGTCTTTTTCCCCATTTTTCGAGTTGCTCTCCTTTTGATTGTCCTCTTTTGTCATTTTCGAAACTTTCCGATGATGAGGATTCCAAAACTCCTTGGACCCTTTCTTCTTGTTTCGCCTCACACTTTTTGAAACTAAACTGATTAGTGGAGAATTTTTAATCTATTTTTTTTTGAAATTTTGAAAGAGTTGGAATTTGGTGGCAAGGATGAAGTAATTTTTAGCGTGAGATATCTTTTGTGGCTTTGAATTTTGAAAAAACCTAAAATATATAAAAATGAAATAGACCAACTCTGAGAATCAGAAGTTAAGAATTTCAGCAAACCCGGAATTCTGAAATTCTGCAATTCTGAAAATCCTAAACATCCTAAATCCTTTAATTTCTTCTACAATTTACTATTCTGAAAGTCTGAGTTTTCAAATTTTCGACTTTCTGAATTTCCGATTTTTACATTTTTTCGAATTTCAAAATTCTGAAATTTTATCCCTAAATCTTTGGAATCCTCGAATTCTGAATTTCTGGAATTCTGGAACTCTGGAATCCTAAAATTCGGGAATCCTCGAATTCTGTAATCCTGGAATTCTGGAATCCTGAAACTTTGGAATCCTCGAATTTAGAAATTCAGAAATTCTGGAAGTCTGAAATTCTGAAATTCTGGAATTCTGGAATTCTGGAATTCTGAAATTCTGAAGTTCTGAAATTCAGAAACTCGGAAATTCTGGAATTCTAAGATTCTGGAATTCTAAAATTCTAAACTTCTGATATCCTGATGTTCTGAAGTTCTGAAATTCCGAAATTCTGAAATTTTGAATTTCAGAAATTCAGAAATTCTAGAATTCTAAGATTCTGGAATTCGGAAACACTAAAAATTCTGAAATTCTGAAATTCTGGCATTCTGAGATTCTGGAATTCTAAAATTCTGAAATTCTGAATTACTGGAAATCCTACAAATCCTAAAGAAATTTTGAGTTTTCAAATTTTCGAATTTCTAAATTTCTGATTTTTTAATTTTTTTCGATTTTCAAAACTCTGAACTTCTGAAATTCTAAAGTTCTGAAATTCTAGAATTCTAAGATTCTGGAATACTGGAATTCTGGTATTCTGAGATTCCGGAATTCTGAAATTCTGAAATTCTGGAATTCTGGAATTCTGGAATACTGGAATACTGAAATTCTGAAATCCTCGAATTCTGATATTTTGGAATTCTGGAATTCTGGAATCCTGAAATTTTGGAATCTTCGAAGATTGAAATTCTGGAATTCTGGAATTCTGAAATTCTGAAATTCAGCACTTTTAAACATTTCAAGAAATCTCAAATCCCAAATTTTCAGACTTACTAAAAATTTCTATTCTGAAATTCAAAAATTCTGAATTTTCAAATTTCTGAATTTCAAAATTTTGAGAATCTGAAAATCTGAAAAAAAAACCCAAAATTTGATATAGTTTGACTTCTTGAGTCCAATAAAAACCCCCATTTTTTCAAGTATTTTTGAGGTCACCTAGTAACTTTTAGTCATTTTTTGCAGTTCTTTTGCAGTTCTAACCCCAAAAAACTTTATAATTTCCAGTTTTTTTTTGTGACTTCTTACTCATCTTTTTTTACAAAAATCGCATTCCCTTTAAAATTCTTTTTGTCCTTTTTCGTCTGTCCCAATCATTCATTTCCTGTCTTTTTGATAATTGATAACAAGACGCTAACCGTATCAAGGAGGATTACTGTAGGAAAAAAATTTTCACGTGTTCCAACACGTGAAAAACAACAAAAAAAAACAGCAGTTGATCTGAAAAAACTCAGTTTTTTAGAAAATTCTAAAAAGTCTAAAAATCTGTCTTTAGGATCTTGAATTTTAAATTTTAACCAAAATTTTTATTTTTATAATTTTAATTAAATAATATTCATTTTAAAACTGTTCAATGATTCTCAATAATAGATAAATCCCCTTCTTAAAAATTTGGATTTTTGAAAAATAACAAATTTTTTGGTCCATTCAACACCATTTTTGAGTGATAAAGAAGTACTGATAAGATGACTTTCGAAAGTGTTCAATAATCTTTTTTCTTCTTTTCTTTTCTTTTTCTCAAAAGAAAAATAAGTACGAACAGTTGTCCTAGACATCTGGCCAGACGCTGGTTTGAGTGATTTTTGAAAATAGATGACGTCAGCTAAAAAATCGATCTGAAAATTTAAAAAAAAACTTTAAAACCTTAATAGAAATTATTGTATTCTGAAAAATCACACATTGGGCTTCATTTTCCAAGAAAAATTACTTTTGTAGCTCATCTAGGAGCCGAGATACAGTCGTTTGAAGTTTAGGAGGCTAGAGACGCAGACGACAAGACACTCTAACTGTCTGCGTCTCTTCAAAACTTCAAAACGCTGTATCTCGAGTTACAGAAGGCCTGGACAGTTGGTTTTTGGACAGAAAAGTATATTTTTCATTTGTTCAAAAAATTGAAGAAAATCTAAATTTTCCGAAAATGTCGAATTTTGAAAAAAAGACAAAAAACGACGGAACTTCCTAAAATTTTTAGTTTTATTAGATTTTAATTGAAATTTGAAGAGTTCCACAAAATTTTTGATATCGCTAGCTCGTCCAGGAGCCGAGATACAGCTCTTCGAAGATTCGGAGGCTAGAGACGCAGAGTGTCTCGTCGTCTGCGTCTCTAACTTCATAAAATTCAAAACGCTGTATCTCGGCCGCTAAATGAGCCAGAAAACTGATTTTTGGACAGAATTGTGTAATTCTTCTAATTTTAATAAAAATATTATTTTTCAACTTTTCCTTGCTTTTAAAAATCATATGTGTTTCTGTTTCTTCTCTATTTGTCAAACACAACACACTAATCGGATGATAATTCTGGTGATAACACAAATTGATGGACAGGCCTATACGTATATGAGATGGACAATCGAGAAATTGGGAACAGGCAAAAAGAGAAAAAGAGATGGTGATAAGATTATTACATGGAGAGACAATGGGGAAACTGCATAAATTCAATGATAAACTTTTTCATTGTCTGGAAAAAATTGGAAAAGTTTTTGATCAAAAAAGTTAAGAGATAATATTCAAAATCAATCGAGTTCAAAAACAAATCAAATCTAGCCACTGGGAGCCAAGATATATCCATTTGAAGTTCCGAAGAGACGCAGACGGCGAGACACACTGCGTCTCTAGCCCTTCTAACTTCAAATGACCGCATCTCGGCTCCTAGATGAGACAGAGAATCGAAACTTGGATGTAAACGTAGAAAATTTGAAATCCTATATTTCTGAAGTTTTATCTTTTTTCTAGCTCTCATATAAACTGAGATATATCGATTTGAAGTAGACGCAGACAGTTAGAGTGTCTCGTTGTCTGCGTCTCTCCAAAAGTTCAAATGCCTGTATCTTGGCTCCTAGATGAGCAATTTAGATTTAGTCTTTTGATCTTTTTGGTACATTTCCGGCGGTTTCTTTTTCCTTTTTTCTTTTCAAAATCACAAAAACCAATAGCGTCATAGAGAATCTGAGAACACGTGGCTTCTTCTTTTTCTTCTTCATCTAGAAAGACATTTTCCCTTCTCCCTATCCATCAATCTTATCATCAGATTCCTCATTTCTCTCTCTCTATCTCTCTCTCTCTCTCTCTCTCTCTCTCTCTCTCTCTCTCTCACTCTCTCTCTCTTCTCTCCCGGTACACTTGCACCCGCCCAGTTACTTTGACTTTTTCTATTGGCTTTTCTTCTTTTCTTTTCAATTTTTATCATTTTTTTGCTTTTTTTATTTCTCTGCGTCTCTCATTCTCTCGCTCAATCTCCGAAATGAATGCTCGTTCTTCCAGCGTTCTCTTGTCCGAAAATTCCTTTTTTCTTATCACATTTTTTTCTGTAAACAATTTCTTTGGTGCAAGAATGAAAGAGTTTGGCTAGAAAAGTGAAATGAGAAGAGAGAAATTGAAAATAATAAGTTTTTTTTTTGAATACAATGTACCTGGTTTTGGGTACATGGGGGGTCAAAGAAAAGGGTACACAGAATACCTACATCTTATCAGTAATTATCTTTACTAGATTCGTGAAACTTCCGATGACGGTTGGATTGGATTTCTTCTTGAAATAAAAAAATTTTGAGTTTAGAAAGTTTTTCGTTAGATTTCTCGTCTCTTAATTTCTGAGATTCATTTCCCTGAACTTGACCTAGTTTTCATTTTAGAATTAGTAGATTCTTGAGTTTTTCCATTTTTTGAAATGTTTTCTGAGCTTCATTTTCTATTTAAAATCACCTTTCTAGCTCATCTAGAAGCCGAGATATAGCCAGTGGAAATTTAGAAGGTCAGAGACGCAGAGTGTCTCGTCGTCTGCGTCTCCCCGAAAATTCAAATCGCTCTATCTCGGCTTCTAGACAAGCTAGAAATCTGATTTTTGGATCGCAATGTTTGTATTTGTCAGTTTTTCATAAATGGAAAAAATTGGAATTTCCCAGAAATTCAAATTTCGAAAAAATACAAAAATCAAAAAAAATGTTTTTTTTTTCTAAATTTTATCAGTTGCTAATTAGAATTTAAAGGTTTCCACAAAAATTTTGACATCGCTAGCTCATCTAGAAGCGGAGATACAGGCATTTGAAATTTGGGAGATTAGAGACGCAGTGTGTCTCGTTGCCTGCGTCTCTTCAAAATTTCAAATTGCTGTATCTTGGGTTCTAGACAAACTAGAAACCTGATTCTTGGCCTAGAATGTTCTATGAATCATAAACTTCTGAATTCTGAATTCTGAACTTTGATCAGTCTTATCACCGCCATCCGACGGGGGGGACCATTTATCACTGATAACAACAACAAAATAGGTCGGGAGACACTTTTGTTTATCATAGAACCGCGTAGCTGAACTACTCAGGTTTTCTAGATTCTTTTTTTGTTCTTCTTTTTTCGTTGTCTTTTTGTTTCTATTGATCCGTTGGTCACAAGAAAAATCACACTGATTATTTCTCCATTTTTTCCGGTTTTCCCAATTTCGGTCCATTTTTCAGTCAGAAATGTTAGAACTTTTTTGACTTTTGAACATTTTAAAGTGAAATAAATTGGCCTAATTATGATTTTTGACCAATTAAAAACAGGAAAAAAAAATCATATGACATTTTTTGTTTGTCAGACTGATTTTTAAAAATTATTTGTTTTGGTGAAAAAATATTTTCATTTTTGGTCTATTTTCAGAAATAGAGAAAATTCGGAAATTCTAAAAATTTTCAAAATCTTGAAATCAGATTTTCGGGGGAAATTTAGAAAATCGGAAATGTTGAAAATTCGATTTCTGTTTGTCTGTGAATCCAGATGTCCACTTGACTAATTTATCAGTTCAAAGTCGAAAATACACGCGGCAACTGTTCTTTATCACCCAAACGTTCTCTGATACCGAAAAAGTAGACGGAGTCAAGTGTCCTGAGGATCACATGTCGCGACAAGATAGGCCACGCCCACCTTTCCCATTTTCTATAGGTCGACTTGTGTCGGCACCATTTTCTTTCCTTTCATAAGTTTCGTGTTTCGCCTTTCTAAGAGTTTCAGAAGAGACGGAAACAGTTAGAGTGTCTCATCGTCTGCGTCTCTAGCCTCCTAAACTTCAAACGACTGTATCTCGGCTCCTAGAAGTGCTAGAAAAATAATTTTTGCACAGAATTGTTTGGAAATTTTTGTTTCCATTTAAACTTTTGAGATTTCATGAAAATTTGAAAAAAAAATTACTCTGAATCTCAAAAACTCAGAAATTCAGACTTCCGAAACATCATAAATTTCAGATTTCCAATTATTTTTTGAAATTCTTCTTATCCGATTTTTCTAAAGTTTTTGAAAATGGGAAATTCTCAAAATTTTTAATTTTGATATTTTGGAAATTCAGAAATTCAGAAATTCAGAAATTCAGAAATTCAGAAATTCAGAAATTCAGAAATTCAGAAATTCAGAAATTCAGAAATTCAGAAATTCAGAAATTCAGAAATTCAGAAATTCAGAAATTCAGAAATTCAGAAATTCAGAAATTCAGAAATTCAGAAATTCAGAAATTCAGAAATTCAGAAATTCAGAAATTCAGAAATTCAGAAATTCAGAAATTCAGAAATTCAGAAATTCAGAAATTCAGATATTCAAATATTCAGAAATTCAGAAATTCAGAAATTCAGAAATTCAGAAATTCTGAATTTTGAAAATTCTAGAAATCCCAAGACATTCCAAATTCCAAATCCCATCTTTCAAACTTTTCTAGAATTTTCTAAATCTTCCTTTTTTCTCTAAATCTCCAATCCCTCCAAATTTGGGTCCACGTGATTCCAATCACCTGATTCCATTCATCAAATTCATTATCTTCGAAAATCACAAAAATTCTTTTTCTGGGCCACGTCACCAATTTTTGTACATAAAAACGGAAAATAATATATGAATATAATTATTACAATCAAAACAAGAAATTCCTTCTCCTCTTCCGATCATTGGACACTTTTTCTTCCCCTTTTGTTGCCCCAAAATTATCGTAAAAATCAAAATTCAAATTTCCCGCCAAAATACACTTTGATCACTGATTGCTGAATTTTCTCAAATTTTGTAACTTCCAAAATTTTGATTTTTTCTCTTTTTTTTCATGCTAATTGATTAATGATCGCTTATAAACTGTTTCGAATTTTCAGAAACTCTACAACGAATCTACTAGAATCAACGTCTTCTGAATAAGTCAATAACATTTTTTTTGAATTTTTTTTTAAATAAAAAATGGTCCTCCTCTCGGCAATCGATCAGGGAACCTCGTCCAGCCGATTCCTGGTTTTTGAAGCGGATACCGGAGAATTGGTGACCAGCCATCAGGTACAGTAACCCAGAATTTTTTTCAAGTTTTGAAAATTTTTCAGATCGAAGTCCGTCAACTATTTCCGGCGGCAGGATGGGTGGAAATGGACCCAATGGAAATTTACGATACCGTAATCTCGTGTATTCAAAAAACTATCGAGAAATTGGAAAACCTGGGAATCACCGCCGATGAGATCAAGTCGGTGGGCGTGGCCAATCAGAGAGGTACTGTAGAAACTAGTTTTTGGGTTACTGTAGCGCTTTCTTACTGAATCATTATCACTAAAATCATTATCAGAAGGACTACTGTATCTTTTCAAAACATTGGGTTACTATAGTGTGAACTACCGTAATCCGGAATTTTCAAAGAAATGTTTTTGAGGTTACTGTATGATTACTGTAGCTCTATTTCTTTTCAGAAACCAGCATTGTTTGGGACAAAACCACTGGTAAACCACTGTACAATGCGATCGTTTGGTTGGATACCAGAACTTCTGGATTGGCGGATGAGGCGATTTCCAGGACCCAGTCAAAGTGAGTAGATCAACTTTTTTTTCAATTAAAAAAACTGGAAATTGAGCAAAATTAAATTTCCAACATTTCGATATATTTTTCATGAGAATCGGGTGAAAATTAAAACAGTTATGGAGTTCGAAATTGTTTGCAAATGCTAGAAACCCAGCCAGACGTAGATTGAGTGATTTTCAAAAACAGATGGCGCCAGTTTTTCTAAGAAATTCTGGTAATAAGAAAAATCACAATTTTTGCTCCATTTATCAATTTAAACCACTCTTCTAGCTCATCTAAGAGCCGAGTTACAGCGATTCAAAGTTTTGAAAATTGGAGACGCAGCGTGTCTCGTCGTCTGCGTCTCTCTGGGTGTCTGACTGTCTGCGTCTTTTTGAAACTTAAAATGACTGTATATGGACTCCGAGACGCTCTAAAAACTTGATTTTGGGAACAAACTGAAGTCTAGAAATCAGGAAATTAAATTTTCTCAAAATTTCAAATTTCCAGGTCCAAAGACGAGTTCCGTCAAAAAACCGGTCTCCCAATCCATCCATATTTCTCCGCGTTAAAACTCAGATGGCTCTTCGAAAACGTTCCAGAAGTCAAGGAAGCCTATAAATCTGGAAATCTCATGTTCGGAACTGTCGACACCTGGCTCATCTGGAAATTAACCGGCGCTTACGTCACCGACGTTTCGAACGCCTCCAGGACCCTTCTTCTAGATCTACACAAGAGAAAGTGGTCCACCGAACTTTGCGAGTTCTTTGATCTACCGATGGAGATTCTCCCCGAGATCAAGTCCTCTGCCGAGGTTTATGGATACCTTAAAAATGGTCCTTTAGAAGGAGTACCCCTCTCCGGATGTCTAGGAGATCAGCAAAGTGCAATGGTTGGACATCAGTGTCTAAACGCTGGCCAATCCAAGAACACCTATGGTACAGGCACTTTTATGTTGTGCAATATTGGAACAAGACCGATTATTTCGAAGAACGGATTGCTGACTACTGTAGGCTTCCAGTTTGGAGCCGATTCTCCTGTGGTATATGCGTTAGAAGGTTCTGGATCCATTGGAGGCAACGTGGTTAGATTCTTGAGAGACAACTTCAAATTTATACAAGATGCAAAGGAGATGGAGGGGCTTTGTAGGAAGATTCAAGACACTTCTGGTGTCTACTTCGTCCCATCCTTCACTGGACTCTATACCCCGTACTGGGACTCAACGGCAAGAGGGACTATCCTTGGCCTTACTCAGGTCTCTCAAAGAGAGCACATCTGTTTGGCAGCTCTTCGCGCTGTGGCATTCCAAAGTGCTGAAATGGTGGCTGCTGTTGAGCAGGATCTGGATAATGGGACAAAAGTGACGACGCTTAAAGTGGATGGTGGAATGATTGCCAACAAATTGTTCAATGAGATTCAGGCGGACATTATGGGTGTGGATATTGTGACACCGAAGATTACGGAGATTTCGGGATGGGGAGCGGCGGTGGCTGGTGGTATTGGCGCACAGCAGATTAGTTTGGACGAGTTCTTAGAGCAGAGTAGTGAGGTAAGCTGGAGAAAAAAATGTTACACTTTTTAATTTTTGTAGCACCTCGCTAGATAGATTTTGAACGGAGATATGAAGGTTTGAAGTTCGGGTAGATCAAAAAGAAATATTTCAGTTTCAAAATGAGCTAGGCATTCGAAAATTTGTCCAGTAGAAGAATTACGTATTTCCAATAATTTTGCCAAATTTCAAAACGCTAGCACCATGAAAAGCCGAGATATGGCGCCTCGAAGTTCTAGTGGAAACCGCGACGCGACCGCAACGCGCCTCTCAAAACTTCTGGCCTCCGTATCTCAGCTGTCATTGGTCCTAGTATCTTGAAATTTGGTGAGCAGGCTAAACATAGTATTTTCAACAGTTTCACCTTTTTTTTCTAATGTGATCACTGAAACCGCGACGCGACCGCAACACGACTCTCAAAACTTCAAAACTCCATATCTCAGTTTTCGTTTGACCTAGGAATCTGAAATTTTCAGCATTATCTTGAAACTTGTTAAACTTCTAAATTTTCTATTTTTCTAAAATTCAAAATTTTCAGGACAATCGCTATACCCCACAAAAGGATGAGCAATGGCGATCGAAAGAAATGGCTCGTTGGAAAGAGGCCGTTAAGAGATCCTGCGGATGGGCGACATAAATCAATCGATATCATGAAATTAATCATTTTTCTCTTTTTTTTATTTTGTGCCTTTTTCTCATCAAAAACTGGTCACAAAATTTTTTTCAAATATTCTGCCTGATTTTTCCAGGTGCACTGATTTTTAGCTGTAAATATCAATACACAATATACGGTTATGATTTGTTTTGCATAGAAAACGAAATAAAGAATATTCGCTTTGAGATTATCAGAAATTTTCAGAAATTCAGAAAATTCGAAAAGCTCAGGAATTCCAAAAAACATCGAAAAATTAAAAAAAATCCTGAAATGTCCAGGGGGAAAAACTGGATTTGTGCGATTTTCAAAAAATCAGATTTGTCTGAATTTCCAAGTTTTTAGGGTCCCATGATTCATTTCATAGAAAACCAAAAATCTATTTTCCATTCATTCCTTACTAGCTCATTAGTCCATATCAATACCCCTAAGGTGTCCCAGAGCCCCACCATTTTCACCTGCTCTCTCCCTCTCTCTCTCTCTCTCTTTCTCTCTCTCTCTCTCTCTCTCTCTCTCTCTCTCTCTCTCTCTCACACAAAGTCGAAATTCCTGAGAAAAGTTTCCTGAAACTGCCTAAAGCCACCCCTGGATTCGTGCGATTTCCAGATGTTGTAAATTTGCTTTTTTTTTCTAAATCGAAAAATTCGGATTTCAAAATTTTAGATTTTTCTGAATTTCCAAGTCTTTAGGGTTCCATAATTCATGTGAAATTTTGGAGTTTCTTTTGATTTCCATAGAAAACCAAAAATCTATTTTCAATTCATTCCTTACTAGTTCATTAGTCCATATTAGTACCCCTAAGGTGTCCCAGAGCCCCCACCATTTTCACCTGCTCTCTCTCTCTCTCTCTCTCTCTCTCTCTCTCTCTCTCTCTCTCTCTCTCACTTTCTATTTCCCACCACACCCGTCATCCGTCACACCAAAATTTCCTGGGTAAACATAGAAGACCCTCTCTTTTACTTTATATAGGCGTTTATATTTATTTATGCACTTTTACCTATTGTTTTGGGGCTCCAAGAGCATGTAAATCCTATTTTCAGCTGAAAAATTAGGTCTGGAATTGGAAATTTCAGCGAAAATAGATCTAGACCACTTCGGAAATGCGGCTTTGTGATTCAAAATGCACTGAAATTTTTTAGAACCTCCTGGAAGAGGTTTCCTTCTTTTAAAAGCCTAATTCTTGAAAAATAATTTCTAGATGCGCATTTTTCAGATTCTTTTTTGCAGACCAATTTTTCTAAAAATCAATTTTTTCAAATCCATTTTTCAGTACATATAAGCTCAAAAAGCCATATTTTCTCATACATAAAAGGTTATGTTTGGGTGATTTTGTGTGAGAACCTTTACCCATTTTTTGGTTTATTTGCTCTGCTTTTTTGGATGAATAGAGAAGAAGAAGAACTTTTTTTTTTGAATGGAAAAAAGTTTTTGTTGATTTTCAAAAAATTCTTCAAAAATTGACACTTTTGAGATTTTAGGATATTTTAGGTCCTTAATATTCTCAGGATTTTTAGAATCCTTAGAATTCCCAGATTCTGGGAATTTGGGGTTTTTCAAATGTTTCTATTTTCGGATTTTTAAGATTTTCAAGGGTTTTCAGATTCTCAGGACTCTCAGACTCTGGACATCTCGAATTCCTTTAAAATTGGAATTTTGAAAACTTAAAAAGTTTTAAATTTTCAGGACTTTTTAGATAATAAAAGTTTTTTAGATTCTTAGGATTCTCAAATTCTGGAAAATTTTTTTTCGAAAAATTGACATTTTTGAGAATTTAGTATTACAGGAATTTCAGATTTTTTTTTCAGTTTACCCGGTTTTTGAATTCTAGAACCAAAAAAAATTCATCAAGAAAAATGCTCATAAATATTCTTACCAGGGGGTGGAGCCAAAAAGGGGCGGAGCCTTAGTGAACGACACTTTAATTTTAAGATTCTCAGGATTTTTAGGAATTCCAGATACTCCAATTCTGGAGTCTTCGGATCCCAAAAAGCTCTAGTGTTCAATTCTGAAAGACTTGGGATTCTTAAAAACTTCGTTTCTTCAAAATTTCGGAAATTTTCAGTCTATCTCAATCTTTGCTCTTTCACACTCATTTGGGGCATGTGGTGACTCTTGTGTTCTTATCACAATATCAGTTTTCTTTCCCCTCTAATCAGAAGCGTTCTCTCTCTCTCTCTCTCTCTCTCTCTCTCTCTCTCTCTCTCTCTCCAAGTTTCTTCGAACACTGACCGGTTGGTAATCCGAGCCGGGCCCCTCCAGGTGTATGCATCAAGTTGATCCGTTCCTTCTCTGTCTGTGTCCGTTCCTTCTTTCTCTGTCTCTCTCTCTCCTTTACCCATATTCATTCTCCGCGCACAGTTCTCTTGTTTCTATTGTATTATGAGTCTTCTTTTCCACGTGTCTTCTTCTTCTTCTTCCTTTTTGTGTTGTCCCGTATGTGCATATAGGCGCGTCATGGGAAAGGACCAGGTTCTATTGTTTTTGGGAATGAGAGAGAGGGAGAGAGAGGGAGAGAGAGGGAGAGAGAGGGAGAGAGAGAGAGAGAGAGAGAGAGAGAGAGAGATGAATTGAGCTGATGGAAAAGACGTCCTCCGATCCATGCCACATTTTTGGCATTTTCGGAATTTTTTAACTTCGAGTTCCTCTTTTTTCAGTTGTCGAGAATTTAGCTTACTCATTTTTTTTTCCAGACTTTCAATTCTTCGTCTGCTCCTTCTTACATTTTATGAAAATCTATTTTATCTGAAAATGTCCTTTTTTCCGAAAATTAGCTCCATTTTTGTAGCGTCTCCATATTTCTTAAAATCCATATGTTTCTGTAAATTTGCTCACTTTTCCTGAAAATCCTTATGTTTCTGAAAATCTCAATTTTTTTTTGAAAATGTTTCCATTTTTTCTGAAAATCTAAACTTTTCTGAAAACTTTTCTCATTTTTCTAAAAAATCTCATTTTTGAGAACCTTCATTTTTCTGAAAATTCCCATAATTCTAGAAATCCTCATATTTCTAAAAATCCCCATTTTTCTGAAGATCCTAATATTTCTGAAAATCCCGATATTTCTGAATATCTTCATTTTTCTGAAACTCCTCTTACTTCTGCAAATCTCCATATTTTCAAAAATCCCTATGCTTTTGAGAATCTAAACGTTTCTGAAAATTTTAATTTTTCTGGAAATTTTCTCAATTTTTCGGAAAGATTGCTCTATTTTTCTGTGAATCTACTTCTAAAAAAACTACAGTTCTCTGAAAATCTCAATTTTCTCGAAATCTCGATTTTTCAGAAAATTCTAAAATTCCGAAATTCAGATTTTCCTTCAATTTTTTGAATTCCTACAACTTTATAAAACCCATGAAGTTGCGAAATTTCTCCGAAAAAATCCCCAACTTATTTTCGCAAAAATACGTAATTAACCAGTCCGCTGACCCATTTCAAATTTTCCCCAAAAACCCTATCGGCAACTAGTTTTTTACCACTCTTTATTTCATTTAATCCGATATGTTCAAAAAACGTTCCGGTGCCGTTTTTTTTTTGACGATTTTTATGATCTGGTGAATAGAAAAAAGTTTAAACCTGAAGAAATTTCTGGAATGAATAAAAACATCTGGTGTAATAAAAGAGGGTTATTAAAACTAAGAGAAAACTGGGAGAAATGGAAAAGTGTGATTTTGAGAATCCTAAGAATCCGAAGAATCCGAAGAATCCTAAGAATCCTAAGAAGCCAATCTGCCAATCTGTAAATTCTCAGCATTTCTGTCAATTTCAGGTTTTCTAGATTTTTTTTCAAGGCCTCTTTCGTCTATTTCTATCAAATTTTTTTGATCAGATTTCTGCAGTTTTCAGCTTGATTTATAGGTTTTTTTCTACCGTTTCTCATTTGTTTCATTTTTTCCATTTTTTCAAGTTTTGGGTTTTCGTTCTATGCTATTTCAAATTCAGATGGTTTCACAAAACATTGAAGTTCTTAGCTCATCTAGAAGACGAGATACAGCCACTCAAAGTTTGGGAAGTAAGAGACGCAGACAACGAAACGATCTAACTGTCTGCGTCTCTTCAAAATTCTGCACATCTCGACTTCCAGAAGCGCTAGAAACATGATTTTTGTTAGCAAATGTGGAAATTTTAATTTCCTTCATTTCTGTCTAATTTTCACATTTCTAGCTTTTTCTAGAGCCGAGATACAGCTATTAGAAGCTTTAGAGAGACGCAAACAACGAGACGATCTAACTGTCTGCGTCTCCTCAAACTTCCAAGGCTCATATCTCGGCTTTCAGACAAGCTAGAAATCTGATTTTTGTATAGAAGAATGTAGAATGGAGTTTCCTTCATTTCAGTATAAGTTTAATATTTCTAGCTTTCTCAGTAGCCCAGATACCGTCATTTAAAGTTTTGGAGAGACGCAGACAACGAGACACTCTAACTGTCCGCATCTCTCCAAACTTTAAAGACGCATATCTCAGCTCCCAGGCCACCTGGTTACCTCTTTTTTCCATTGAATAGGTTGGCTGAACGTCGTTTTATCTCCCTCTCTCTCTCTCTCTCTCTCTCTCTCTCTCCGGAAAATCACCAGAGAGACCGGTCTTCATGCCACTTTTTGTCTATTTTCTCACCCCCTCTTTCAATTGTTATTTCACATCTCTATATATCGAAGCACGAGCCATTCGCTCATCTCATCACTCAAAAAATTTTTCGCGCGAGGCGTTTTGATCTACCGATGGCGCAAGCGGAGTTTCCGCGCGCGCACCCCTTTCTTTTTTCCGAAAAACCGATCTTTCTTTTTTTTTGTTTTGGTGTCATCCGATCATGTTTTTTCTTATGCTCTTTTTTCGCGCATCTTTTTCTCTGCCTCTCTCTCTCTCTCTCCGATTGCTCATCGTTGGCATCTAAGCATCACGGAGAGAGTGAATGAAATTTCAAAAGGAACGGAAGGTCTAGTTTCTTTTTGGAATCGAAAAAGCATCATCGATTTCAAAGAGAACATGAAACAT